AAAAAAAATAAATCTTTCCATACAAGTTTCTACATCAAGTAAAATGAAAAAAAAGAAACAAAGAGCAATATTCTTTAAGTAATAAAATCATCAGAATATACGGTAAAGCACATATACGGAATATAGTGTAGAAACGTAATACAATTTGTCGTACTGTATTTTATATGCTGCTCATGAATACTCTTTATATCTGAAAATATCAAGACTCTAGCCAGCCAGACTTTTATCCCAAAGGCGTTTACAAACTAAGATGGTAAAAAAATGATAATGTCAAATAAAAACAACCAGGTTATTTGGAAGTCAAACACCTGAATAATTAATGGTATGGTAATATTATGACAGTATAAATTTAAATTTAGTATACTTTCAAAAATGTATTACACTCTGTACCCAAATTTTCTTAATGAGGACTGTGTTCATGTTCTGTTGATACTTAATTGCGCTTCCATCCAAAGATTCTGATTGCCAACTGACACTATGACCCTATATTAATTATTTGCTACACGCTTAGAGGGTTAGAAATAGAAACCAATGAGGTCTTTTAATTTATCGGACAACGTGCAAGAATGTGCTGACACTCAACGGACCAGGATCTGATAAGGATATGATATCTCCTATGCATCTAGTGGGCTGACCTAAGTTCACAACTGCTCTTCAATATGAAAAAAACAACAATATGCTAATGAATACTTTCACTTCGAATTCTTTAGAGGGACAGAAAATGAAGATGGACTTAATTTCATTAAGATATGGACTAAATCCTATGTTTCTTCGGGAATAGAAAATAGTAACCGATAATCAAATCTCTATGTTGATCAAAGACGAACGAATAAAAGCATCAAAAAGCAAGGTCTGTCAACAGCATAAGATACTGCATGCCAAAAAAAAAACAAACAAACAAAAAAAAAAAAAAAAAAAAAAAAAAAACAGCAAATAAACAAACAAAAACAAATAACAGTGTTATAATGATAACATTTGTTTTGTTTCCATAAGGTTCAGCTTGGTAACGATGCATGATATCTTCAATTTTAATCATCATCATTTTCTTTGTATATTACAAAAAATATTCTGTTTGCTGAAACAACTAATGAAATCATAATACGTGTATAATATTATTGCTTTGTTTTGACATAAATATTTCAGAGTACAGAGACTATGCATTCAATTGAAAATTGCTTTACTTTTTGTGAGTAAATAATTAAAGATGTAAACTTATTATAGGGCATGTAATCGTAGAATGTGAAAAATTAAACTTTTAAGAGAGCATGTCACTAAGCATTGAGCTTCATGCTATATAAACATGGGAAAGTGGAAAAAATTATTTCTAGCTCAAATTTTGTGAACATGATGCATATGAATAGTCTTTCAAAAAAACATACCTACCCAGGCATCTTGTTTCCATGGCAACCAGGGCATTTGCTATATTTTATTACAGAAATACTTGGACTGCCTTATCCTGTTATATTTCATGTATTTTACATCCAAACTCCATGTATAATTTTATAATGTGGGTCATAAAGTGCTTTGAAATACATTTTTCTGTTTTATAAGGAAAATTTATTTTGTAATTGATTTTTATTAGATTTTACCTATAGAATTATATTGCATGAAGAGCTACGTAGTTTGCAAAATCCAGACAACTTTAGAAAATTCTACATATATCTGTAGAAGGAGAATACTCTGTTCAATAAATTAAATAAATAAAATTGGGTAGACACTCAAGACTTTAAGAAAAATATTTGAATGAAATGTTGTAAAACACTGTTGAAAAATGATTGGATTACCTCCCTTGCAAGAGCTCTCTAGCAAAAGAGGTCGGAAAGAATGAAACAGACAACAATAGAGGAATTGCGGGAGAAAAAGGAAATCTTCCAACTTGGAGTAGTTGGACAAAAACAGATAGTGGTATGTTGAATATGTTTTTTTTTTCATGTATATTTTTGGGTAAACTTTTGATAAGTTTATCTTTTTAAAACAAAATTAAGATAAGGAATGTACTCACAGATTCATTTCTCTTTCCCATGATGTGATACAAATACTGACTGCATAAGTGATGCAGCGTACCTACAGCTTGTGAGCAACCTGTTATATGACCACTAATGTTTAATTCTGCAGTTGTTAGATTACTCTTAATAAGGATAGATAAATGCTATAATGATATTTAAAATAATTAGAGATATGTCTATGATGTTTGTGAATATATACAGTGTATAAAGAGGTCATAGGGTCACACTGCAGGTAAGACTAAAGTCCCTAACCACACAAAAAAGTCATTCTAACTCACCCCTTCCTCTTTTATAAATCAGAGTTTATATTATTTCACATTAAAACTAAAACTTTGTTCAAATCTTATTTTTTTTTTCTCCTGTATCTTCCATACAATCAATGCAACAAACATATCAAATCATTTCTTTTTTTCTACCAATTGCCAAAATGGAATGGGAATGGTACCGATACCAATTCAATGTTGAAATATAGCATCGAATTTATTTACCTTTAAGTTTTGGATGAAATAATAACATAACTTGACACAATGAAAAGTTATTCTACAGAAAACAATGGATTCTGTTGAATCTATATGAAAGTAAGTATGATTGAAAATGTGTAGGTAGTTTATAAATCAATACGTCTGAGTGTTAATATAATTACGTAAAAGTGTGAATAAAACTTATGAATTGAAAAAAATATATATGAATTATTGGGTACAATTCCCAAGTTTATAAAATGTACATAATAAAGTAATCAATAAAATTATCATACCACGTCCCCTCCATCTTCAGGAAACCAGACCTCATTATTTGGTCAAAAGAGTCATACATATGAAGGAGGAATTAAGTGATGTTTGTCTATGAAAATTTACCCCACCCCAACCCCCACTCCAGAATCCAGAACTCCTATATATATTTTGCAGCTTGTTCATATATCTGAATTGTTCCCTTGTCTGCATATATATGTAACTGGTTCATGCTACATGTAATTATTAACATTGACTAGCATGGTGGAAATTATACATGCATATATCATAAATGCAACCTTTACAGAAGAAAGGATGTACATGTGTGTTAATCTACTCTAAATGCAACCTTTACAGAAGATAGGATGTATACATGTGTGTTAATCTACTACTGTATCACTTATTCAGTATAGTAGTAGTAATACATAAACTTTTGTTATTTTTACAGCTATTATAGATAGTTGAAGATGACATCCTGATCCTTTAAAGAAGCCACTGGAGGAAATATATCTTGATCGGAACCATTATTAAAGTTTAATCTTGTTTTACCATGTTCCAAATCAGATATCTGTCTAAAAACCACATACCAGTAATCCCCAGAACTGAATCTGAAGGAATGGAGGATTGCATGTGTTATGTATTTTTTGGATGATATAGACAGTTAATACATGTATTAATGTCATTGTGTACTAATTGTGGTTCAAGGGGCTAAGATGAGGCTAAAATGGAGACTAAATGAGAATACATGTACACATTTTCAGATATTCTTTTCAAGAATAGCAAAACCAAACTAAATCATATCAATTAATTTGCAAAGATTCCCAAGTTATTTAGATTTTAGTTTTTTCCCTCAGATTGTCAACCTCTAGGTATGGATGGGACTAAAATTTTACATAGTGCAGTGGAGGAAAATTTGAGGGAAAATTAAGGTCATTTTAATCTTTATTGATGTTGAAGCATCATTATATAGTGTTGACTAAAGGTTGTTCATGATGCATTACTTTGCACATGTTTCAAATACATGTATTTCAAGAACAGGTCATAACAGATAAAATTTTTAACGTTGACCTCAGTTAATTAACTGATCTTGCCATTGGGGTCAAGGTCAACAATAGAGCATGAATTTATCTTCTTGAATTGTCTAACAGTATAAACTGTGCATCAATGTATGAAATATTTGGAGCAAGGTTCAAAATATCAAGAACCATGTAGATTTAGATAAGAAATTATTAGACATAGAATATATAATACAGAATAATTTGACCTTGGGGTCAAAGGTCAAAGTGAGGAGAAGGTCATAGTAGTGCATGACTCATTTCCTGTTACAACTGCACCCATGTGGAATAAGGATATCTTGTTTCTGAAAGGACAAATTACTTCTAGTAATCTGAATTGTTAACAGGAAATCATCCAAAAATGCCCAAATTTGCACATTTTTGAATCTCCCTGGCAACAATGTTTTTGAAAGTCTACCCAATTTTATTTTTTAATTTTTTTGTATACTCCAACAGTTACAAAATTTCATTATATAGTTTACAAGCAGTTGTACGGATTCTTGTCAAATGCCTTTTAAAAATGTCTTAAATTCAGCTATTTTTTCAATGATAAATTTGTCGCTTTTTCCCATTGCCATAGCAACGTAACAGAAGAACTTAATCCAATTTAATCAGGCAAAGTAGAACTATCAATTTAGTCATCTTTAAAAAATGGGTAGTTTTAAACCATCTTTTGAGAACATTTGTGTGAAAAATACATTTAATTATGTCAGTATTTGCTCGTTTTGAATGTGAAAAATTGTTCTGCTAACTAAGGAAATGTTTCTCCTTGGATACGACTTAGTGATTATGGTTGAAATCATTAAATTTGGTTTTTTCATGTTATTTTTGACAGAAATAATCCATACATACTATTTTTAAAAAAAAATCATATTTTTGACTTTCCATAGAAAGCTCAATGCTTACTGACATGCTCTCTTAAAATTAAATTCAAAAGACAGGAAACGAACAGGTTAACCGAAATAAAAACACATAATCTTAATCTTAATCATATTCCTTGCAGAACAATTGAATTAATTCATAATTTTTGTTTTTCATGTACTCATATGATCCAAAACCACGTAAGCGTACATATAAAAAACATTGATGTACAGTATTGATATTTTATTTACAATATACATGTGTTAACAACATACAGAAAGGTTTTCATTTGACTTACTGGTTTATGCATGTTCTTAAAGCTTGCAGCAAAATTGTCAATCATTAACATTTCATGCCTTCTTCTCTGCAGGTATCTCTGATTCCTCTTCTTTTCTTTTGATTTTCTTAGACTGCATATTCGCAAATACTGCATACTTATACAGCGAGTGAAATGTATTTACAAATATTGGTACGGTCATTGCAAACATAAGAACGCCATAGATAGCGCACATTCCCCCAATTACCTTCCCTGTGATTGATTTGGGATACATGTCCCCATATCCCACAGTTGTCATGGTAACGAGGCTCCACCACCAAGCATCAAACATGGTAGGAATATTTTCGTCAGACTCAAAAAAGTAGATAAAATTTGAGAATATCAGCATTCCTATGAACATGTATGACAACATCAAGGCCAAATCTTTACGCCCGTTTCGCACAGAATACCTAAGCACTCTAAATGCAATTAATCTGTTCAGTGATCTCAACAATCGAAGAATTCGAAACATTTGAAAATACAGGAGAAACTCGAAGTTTGATTCTGCTATATTTATTTCGAAAAAGAATATTCCATACCGAATGTAATTTGCAGTTAAGGACAGGGCGTCTATGATATTAAGGATGCTGAAGAAGTACAGCTTTAAATTTGGGCAGCATATTAAACGAAGAAGAAACTCCAAAGTAAATAGAATCATGATAAAGATTTCGAAAAGAAACAGATGTATGCTATTTTTTGCCGTTGTGGACAAGGTTGTCGCTTTTTTCATCCATTCCGTTTTAAAATTAGCGTCTTGATAAAAGCAATCTCCGCAAATATTCACAATGAAATTTCTTTGTGAAGAATTAAATATTGGAAATCCAAGAATTTTTAATTCATCGCAAAGAATGCAAAAATTTATTTCGCATTTTTCTACATTTGTTTTTGTTTTATTTAATTCAAGTAACGCCTCCTTACAGTGGACATTAGAAGAAGGCGAGTTTTGGCTTTGGAGCTGAAGGTTGGTCCTGTTTTTGTTCTCCGTTTCCATTATCAGTGTGGATCTGATTTCCGGTAGCGTACTAACAGCTATCATAATACAGCTAGCCAAGACGACGAGGGTAGAGAGAATAAGGTACACCTGCATATGTAAAAATAAAAAAAGAGTTATTTCTGTAGAATATGAATATTGTTTACAGGGTTACTTTCGCCCTGTATTATTATTGCCTACTCACAATTGCAACCAATTTTTCAAATCGCTCAGAATTATTTGTTTCGTAACAAAATAACCGTCTATGTTCAAATAACCATTTTCGGTTTGAATTATGAATAACGACATGGGCAAAAGAGGCAAAGTTAAAATGTGGCAAGGATTTTCTCTGTTTCTGGTAATGAAAATGTTGAAATTTTTCTACTTAGAAAACAACAAACGTAAAAACAAGTGCTGAGAAAAATTATAAATTCGAATGATACGAAGGAACGGAAAGTGAGGCAAAAAAATTAATAGTAATATGTGGATCGAGTGCTGAAGAAAATAGATTCACCCTATCCCCCACCCTTATTTACTTAAAAATCAAGGAAAACTTTATATCTTCTTTATTTCTTTGTTTTGTTTTTTTTTTTAACTATTAAAATGTATGTTTGAACACATCCCTTTTTTTCACATTTTTATCAATTTAGTTGGCGAATATTTGGCAATGTATCTCCTGCAGTAGTTGTATTGACTAGTACATATATTTAAAAGTATTTTAGCTATTTCCTTTATTTATTTATTTTAATTTGTTTACTTTCCTTCTCGTTATTGTTTCATTCATTAAGTTTACCTTATCCTACTGATAGATTTATTGATTTAGTTGTTTGCTTGTAATGAAAATATTAATTTGAATATATAATTCTAAAATGCTTATGTTCAATGCATTTCAGTCTATCATATAAACTTTTAAAAAAAAAGACTTTGACACGAAAGTAAACAATGAAAAATTACGATGAATAAAAAATTGTTTTTATTTAAATTGTAAATTTATATGAGTTTTAATCAAAATGTTGAAAACAAAAAGAAGTCTTTTTTTAAGACGACTAAATTATATACCGTACCTCATGTACCACTGATGTGGGTGAGTGAAATAAATTACTTGATGTCTTTAAATGATTAACATCCATTTAAATTTTTATAACGATTTTTTTATGTTTGAGAACGCTGAGCAATTAAAGGGAAAAATTTAGAAATTTTGAGTACACATCAGAGTAAACATCGAGATCACAAGTTGAAGTATTACTTTCAAAAACGGTTCGAATTTTTATAGTACATAGTGTTTGTTTGTCACTTATGCTATCGTATAATACAGAAAACCTCCGACATATATAAAAAACATGTTTTTTAATTGTGCTTTATTTTTTTTTCTTTGGCTAATACGGTAATCGAAAGTTGAAAAACGTGCATGAAAAGCACAATTTTAGATATAATTCTCTGTGAAATACCTTGGCATATAGACTGTCATTCTTGTAGTCCAATATTTCCCAAATCTGTTGCCGAAGAGACTTCGTGGAGATGTTGTTATTGTCCTGTTCTTCACATTTCATTTCACGTCTGCTAAAGTCAGACTTGAATTTCAAAAGCGATTTCTGCTGAAGATCATAATCGTATATTTTTCTCAGGCAACATTCTTCCACTGTTGAGTCATCGATTCCCCAAAAGTCTAGCTCTTCTTTGAACTTTCCGACACAGACATTTTTCGGAGTATGCAGTTTACCCGAAAAACAAAACTCATGAATCGCACGGAAGCTTTCCCGGCATCGTGAGAAAGCCACAGTCTTACATTTATTTTCTTGCAAAAATAACCTTTTTAGGTAAGAATCTGGAATTTTTTCCAAAGACGTTGCACTGAAGCTAAATTCTTCTTCCCCCACTTTTACAATCAACTCTTCCATCATTTACTTTTCTCGAATATCCAAACTGAGTCTTTAACGGGCATCTGAACTTCATCGAGTATAAATATTCCAAATAGGAAAATCAAATTTTTATCAATGGTAGCTTCTCAATAAAATAAATTGCTCAAAAGTTGGTATTTGCTGTCACCGTACCGTACTTGATTCTCACAGGAATATAAGATATTGCAGAATTGAAATCGCTGGCATGAATATTTAAATTTCTACAGTTTCCTCACCTTCACTAAATTTGTAAGTAGGTAGCTTTCATTACAATTATTACGATCTCTCCGGATCCCTTAAGAATTAATTAATGATGATTGCTTTCAGTGATACTACAGAAGGTCGGATTGAAACTCATAAATCCAATATAATGTAAAAGGAGCAGAATAATTTTAAAGAGCGCTGTTTCAAAACAGATAAACAGTTAGGCACATGTAATTTAAGAGGGATCTTAAGCATTAATATACTACTATAATAGTATTATATTTTGCATAATTTCATATTTTTTGTTAAAATGTAAATATTCTGAATTGCAAAATACATTTCTCTTTTTCTTTACAAATAGAGTTGAATTCGAGTAATATTTAATGAATTAAGGAAATATTTCCTGTAAATTGCGGAAATTCCTGAAGTGTTGTAGGCGAGATAAAAAATCAAATTAATAAAACAAAATGGTCTCGAATTCCCATTTTTTAGAACGTTTATATTTTATGCTCATCTTTACGTTTACAGGATTTGGTCAAGAAATATGCGATAGGTAAGCAATAGATAAGAAATAGTAAAATTCTGTTCATTTGTGTACGGTTATGTTGAAAAATATCTCTCTCTCTCTCTCTCTCTCTCTCTCTCCTCTCTGGTTCTCTGTGTATGCGTGTGCTCATTTGTCAAAGGAGTTATGCATTCTTTTGTTCTCTTCACAAGTAACACGGGTCCGGTGTGCTGCGATGGCTATTACAGGGATCAAAACACAGGGAACTGTACCAGTAAGATTAGTACACATGGCTTTTGATATAATTGCATGTCATAATTTATGATATATATATATATATATATATATATATATATATATATATATATATATATATATATATATATATATATATATATATATATATATATATATATATATATACTTCAAAAATGCTTTATTACCTTTAAAGTTCTTTAAAAATTATTTTCTTTCTTCTTAAAAAGTTTAAAGAAATGAAGCCAATAGCAAAATAGAGCCTAGAATCTCTTAAAACATTTTTTGAAAGAGCAAAGAACGTAAATACCCCTAATACAACATTGAACAGGTTGCAAACCAGGATATTTCGATTTTAATTGTTCCAAAAGGTGTGGATATCCTACATACGGTGAAAAATGTCAGGAAATATGCAGCTGTAGTAAAACGTTTTGTGATTTTGCCTTTGGATGTCGATTGAACACAGACAAGTCTGGCAAGTGATGTTTATATTATGTGAATTCTAATAATAAAAACTAGAATAAAATGTCCATAAGACATAAATGCTTCGCCCGTGGTTTATTAGTAATGTAGCAAGAAAATTCGTATAAGTGTATCAAGTTTGATAAACAAAATCTTGAATAACTTTTTTTCACTGTAGTGAGTTTTATACACAAAAGTCATTTGGAATGTAAAAAAATAAATCAGATACAGCTGATAAATTCCTACTAAATTATTTGTCTGTGCATAAGCTAACAGATAAATACAGTGGATATTTTTCTTTAGACTGAACTAAATTCAAATTTTAAAAAAGTGAGATCAAGGTCAAAAGGAAAGCCCAAAGTCAGAGCTGTTGATACAGTTGACTAACTCTTTTAAGATTTAAATAAAAAAAAAACTTGAAATGTTTCTCTAAATCTGAGCTTCACGCAAAATGTGAGGAAAGGACCGTCCGAAGGAAGGAAGGACGGAGGGACGGAAGTCAGACATGGGAAACATTATATGTCCATGTCATATTCATAACCGGGCATGAAATATATATTTCACTCTCTTATTTTCTGTTTGATTGATTGAATTGTAAACAACCGTAAAAGTCAACAAAAATAAAATAAGATTTTTTTTTCAATGAGACGTATTTTATTAGATAATTATGCATAGTAGATTTTGTACAAAATGGTTACTTGATAAACACGACAAAACAAAACCAAAAAAAAAAAAAAAAAAAAATCGGGAAATGATCATTGTAACAGTGCTTTTTAATTAGGCGCTTTTTCATGGTCTATCTGTATTTATTGATAGAATGACTTTAGGTTTTAGATGTGCTTCAGGTTAAAAATTTCCAATTCAGTATTTTTTTTTTCAAGACACAAAAAAAGAAAAGAAAAGAAAAACAAAAAAAGAAAAGAAAAGAAAGAAAATGTTCATTATTAAAGTTTCTCACATAATTCACACACTGATTCATTTCACTATAGAAATATCATCAAAGTGAATTAAAAACAATCAATTAGCAAAATTTGGAGCAAAATTTCCTTTATTTTATAACTAATTCCTGTTTTGAAAAGATCATATTGATAAACCTTTGAAGAAGTATACATATAGTAGTTTACATTGATATATAAAACAAAGGGGTTTTGAGTTGTACATAGATACAATTATTTCTTTTCTGAAAATTAAAAAGCGTACGTGGTATCTCTATGAAAATTGATATACGTTCAAATTAAAATTGAATATTTGTTCCTCGCACGAAAAATAAGAAGACAAGTACATCCTAATGATTATTGTATCATTTTTTTTTCTTGTAGACACAAGTGGTTCCCACACCTCGACGGAAACCTTGAGCCCAAAGGTCAGATCGTCACTTGTTTTTTTGACGGGAATAACTTCAATAGGCATCCATTTAGATCAAAGCTATCAAACACAGGACATTGACACTTATACTAAATCAAGAATCATCAACGAACAAATAATTTGGAAAACAAACTCCAATATTTCCTCTTCAATTTCTACGGGATTTCCGAGTTCTGTTATTATTGTTACAATAATATGTTCTACATTGTTGTTCTCCGGACTTGTAGTTGCCGTAGTAATACTTCTAAGAAAATTCATTAATATAAGAAACAGAAAAGTTACTTTTCGATCTGATCAATTTTATGCATCGGACACAGAAACATCAGACTATGAGATACTGCACAATAGAAATGTGTTTCGTGGTCTAGCTGAAATTTCTATCGATTACAGTGAAGTTACTCAATCTTACTCTGTCAATTTTAAAACAAAACCTCTAAACACAAGCCATCTTGGTATAAATGTGCCAGATTCAGGTCATGTATACTTAGACATGTTAGATTTAGATGACAATACAAAGTAATTCTAATAGACTTCATCGAAATACTTGCTATTCAAAATGAGTAAATGAAAATAGTTTGAACATGGCATGAACTTCTAATATTTTAAAGCAAATTACATATACATGCATTTGCACACGTACATATTATATACAAAAATATTTTTTCATAAAACTTTGTTTTTTAGCAGTCATTTTGTTGATCAAATTTCTTTCAAAACATACGCGTTCTTGATTTCCAAGTAATGTGGATATTTCATTCATCCGTTCATTAAAAAACTGTATTCGATTAAAAAATCCGCGATAAATCTCCGTACCAAAACACGTGACTCTATTTTGTGGCAGAACGTTTTCCAGAAGAAAATGATTATTTTTTTCCTTTTTGAAGTATTTACAGTTTAATTGAATTGGTTGGATTCATATGTTTCAGTGCAGAGTGAACAAGAGTTTACATATTCAATGATTTTTTTTTTTTTTTTTTTTTTTTTTTTTTTTTTTTTTTTTGCTGGTCTCGAATTATCCAGTAGTTTATGAATTCTATAATCATATTGCGACAAATATTAGTAGCATATTTTTAGTGATAGACCAGGGGAAAAGCTTCAACTATAATGCTTAAAATGAACACATTTTTAATATCTAAAAAATTATATAATTCACATCCACTTTGAAATTTCTCTTCTGAAGGTATAAGAAAGTATTGACCATTCTGCTAATACAATGTATTTAGACTTGATATGTCCCAGTGAACATGAAATAAAAGACACCATACTTCTCTTTTATATACATGTATATTTTTGTTTTACTTACTATATTCGATAAGGGCCAATTAACAACTACACTGTATGACAAACGAGATGACTTCAGCTTCTCCATCGTCAATCTCCCTTATTTATGTAGTAATATTCCACTATCACGTGCTTATGGTGTTTATGTCTTCCAACTTATTTGCTACTTAAAAGCAAATATAACCTATCATTGGGTCATATTTTGATTGACTTGTTTCATACTAAATGTTTTGAATTTTTTTTAATACTAGATTTGACACCTGATCGCACTTGAATTTCCATGTTTTCGTGTTCGTGGGTCCGTGTTTTATGCCCTCTTTACATAATTGTATTGTTTATTATTTTTTTGAGATCAATCACTGTTCGTTATCTTCATTTTTTAGATTGACAGCAGAATCCTATTTCCTTAATAACCATCCTCATTTATATACTATAATGCATGTACATGTACATACATGTGAAAATTCCAAAAAAAACAAAACAAAACAAAATCATATCATCGCATGATATAGAGTTAAGTCTCAAGTAAAGTAAATTGAAAAGTTTTTGTATGTGAATGAATAAAATTTTCTCAAAAAAGGTAATGTGTGTTCTTGTCTTACTATAAACAGATATGTGACAACGATGCATCTATACATGTACATGTGTATACAAATGCTAACACATAAAGTTAAATAAAATCTTACCCCGGAAATGAATATTGCTTATTGAAGATGATAAAACACAACTATTCAATACATATAGAGTAATTTTTAAAAAAAAAAACCATCAGCCTTTGGTTGAGTAATTGTATGTTGTTTAGGTATCATTAAAGAATATTTAATTCAATCATATAGAGATGGTTACATATACCAGTGAAGGACTTCAAATTAAGACTTACACACGGCCTTCAGGGAGAGCAACTTCCACTTCAAAATACCGAGCTCTTGGCGAATGAAAAGTTGCCACCTATTTTTATCGACTTTGGTTTGTCGTGACCAGAGTTTGAACCCACGACCTTCCAATCACAAGCGTCCTACCGATTGAGCTACCGTGACGGTCGTAAGCCCTCTATTAGTGGTGATATGGAATATTTGATTGATGATAACAGTTTTAAGTACATTCTTAATTGTTTGTTATTAGTACATGTATTACAATATTCAAACTATAATTTACATTTTAAGCATTTATGATTGCGCTACGACATACGTGTACAAAACAAATGCCCTTTTTCCTTTCCGTCATATCTTCCATCTAAAAATTGATACATTGCACGGAACATTTAATTAATATAAGTGAACATTACAGAAGAAAATAGAACAAATTATTTTGCTATTCTAAGATGTAATACCTATCGTATTCTAATTTTCTAAGCTATTTTTTCTTGTAAGATTTGAAATTAAATCATCATTGATCTTGTTTACAAAAAAATTACTCTACCGAAAGCTATTAGTGACTAATTGGCCAAATGAAAATGGTGTTGGCAACTTCGAAAGATTACGTTTGATACATGTGTACGCAAAATTGACTTATAGAGTACATACAATTCAATGCTTTATTTACATGTATTTATTTTATGCATGTCGTATCAACTACAATCAAGTAAAATGTTTAATTCTACACTGTATATTGATCCTGCATAATAAATAATTTTAATTAAAGTAATTTTTAAAAGCAATATTCAGCGTAGCAATATATTTTTTCTAAAATTTATGACTTATGAATGCCTTTATTCTTAAATTATAATTATAGCATTTCATCTCAGCAATCATTATACATGTATGTTTATATGAAACGAATAATAAAATATATATATATAAAAATTCAAAATATTTTAGTAAATTGGGGAAGAAGGACCTTGAGGTGAAAAAAAAAATTGTCATTTAATTTTTTTCACATTTTGTATATCACTAATTTTGTATGCCCCACGTACTTTACAGCAGTTATATCATAAGGCCTTATTTTAGAGATATTAATTAATAAAATCCATGCCCTACAGTGTCTTAGTAGAGTTTCGATTTTCTATGTTTACGGACCCACCATTTTGTCCATAATTGGAATTTTTTATCATAGATATAAAAAAAATATTTCTGTGGACGTGTATCTCTTAACATATTTCAGAATATGAATAAGTTTAAAATTCAAAAAAGCAAGTTATTTTTAGTCACACTGCATCAGGATAGTGAAAATTGCGTGTGTTTTTTAGACAACTTAAACAACAAAAAACTTGATTTCCAAAAAAAAATCTATCATTCAATATTTGATAATTTACATTGAAAATGAAGTCCTTCATTTTGTTAATAAACTGTAAAAAATATCGAAAGGTGAAGCTTACTGCAATATTGTACAGGACTTAGTCAAACAGGACATAAGCTTGGAAAAAATGTGTCATGTTTACATTTCTCGATAACGGGAAAAACCTACTATGACGTCAAACACAAGCTAAATAAGTGAAATAAGATATACATACAAAGAGATTTGTTAAAAACCATGTAAAAATGTTTTTAAGTTCCCTAATTTACAAAGTACCCTACCATGATTATGATTATGACCCAACCCGTTCTTCATGTGTATTCACCGGGTATGATCTTGCTGTACTAAGAGATCTTGTATGACGTCCCCGACTTGTTGGCGCACAGACGAGTGGATTAATCTATTCTGTGATTTATTAATATTTTCAAGTTAAAACTTCATAAATATTTTTAAATTAGATGTTGAAGTAAAACAAATTGTCAAAAATTATGCAAGTGCTGATGGCTTAAACTAGGTTTTGAACTTATATTCAGTAGTATCAGAGACTATGACGTAGTCATGTGACCATGTGTCCTTCATCTCCTTAAGTTAAAATTATTTCAACAAGACTAAATAACGCTCCAGGAAGACGCACATGTTCTGAATGATCACCTCTTAAATACAGCTATGCATTTAAATCACTCTTATTTTAAGAATTAGCCCTGCGGAATTTTTTGTCTAAAATTAAACAGAAAGTAGATTTGTACATGAAATTTAGTACATTGATATGGATCTTTTCCTGCATTTTGCATTTTATATATTTATCTTTATAAATTCAGCATCAATAGGATTAAATCAAGAGGTGTGCGACAGGTAAGAAAAAAATCACCATACATGCATGTAGTTAAACTCTTGATGCTTTCTTTTTACTTTCTTTTTTCAGTTTATGCTCAATGAATTTAAAGTATTAATTTTGTAAATTTAATTATTTTACATTTTCCCACACCTTTGTTTAGTAACACTGGACCTGTATGCTGCGATGGATATAATCGGGATCAAATCACTGGAAAATGCATTCGTACGTAATAAATATCAAGGAAAAAATACTAAGGACTTTAATACATGTCCAGACATGTATATGTGGTTAACTTAGCCAAATTTTGATCTATAGTAATTTATTATATATGCTTTACAGATATGTGTTTCAATGACAAGCTCCTTAAATGTCGACGATTTGTAGCTACCTCAGGCAGTTACACAGTCATTTAGTATGCAAGCCTAATAATACTCTTCTTATCTTTCAACAGGTTGCAAACCTGGATACTTTGATCTGAATTGTGGTAAAAAATGCGAGTACCCTACATATGGAGAACAGTGCCAGAAAATATGCACATGTCCCAGAAAAGAATGCAATTTCTCTTATGGATGTATCGCTGAGTCTGGTATGAAATGTGCTACTATACTTCATCATTAGAGTTTATGGGGTTTGAATACATAGTTATAGGCAGAATGTTCTATCGTTAAATGATAACGTCCTACGGACCTGGTGGTGAGGGCCTGTCCCGAGACACAATTTGATTATTCTAGCTAGAATAGCTACTGTTTAATGATGAGGAGCAAAATGCGTTCTATAGCTTTAGGGCACGAAGCGATATTATTTTTGTTTGTTGATCTTGTTTATTTTGTTTTCTTTGTTTATTACTTTTTCAATTTTTTTGGCCAAGTCAAAAAGAAAATGTACTGTGTAACTGTTAAGATTTTATGTGTCTCTGCGTTTCTAATGGTTCCTGTGAATTTTTTTTCTTTAAACATTCTGTAATCCAAACCTTGTGATATGGAGGTTGTCGAGGCACACAGATCAACACTTTTACGAGGGTTGTACCAGAAAAACGCGAACTTTTTAAACATTTCAAAAACTATTCGACCAAAATAAAGAATTTCTTGCACCTTGTTGGGAAATGAAATTTTTGCTATTTTGACAAAATATTATAAAGTTTTAATGACATATGAATGTAAAAATAGCTTTTACAGGTTGTCAAATATCGCTGCTCGGCGCAAGGCAATTTTTCAAGTTTTAGAAATAGCATTTTCAGAAATGTTTTCTTTATTACCAGGCTATACGGAAATATAATGTGAAAAAAATTACTTCCATGAAATCTCTATGATCTGAAGTACTCATGTGTAAAAATTCATTAATTTAGCGTCACAAATGACAAAAAAATGACGTTAGATGCAAAAACACCTTTACTTAGATATTGTCAAAAATAGTGACGTCGGGCGAGAATGCGGAGCACTAAATTATCAAGCAGTACTGTTGAGCGGGATATGACTCCTGTCCACACGGGAAAAAGATATGTAAACGATGGAACGACACAAACATATATCTCGGACACAGATTTATACCTAGTTCAAGAGGTACGGGGATGGCTTGACTGGTTATTCGATGGAAGAAGCGTTTGGTAGACCAACAAACTGAAAAGTGAGAAGCTGGACGTCATACGTGGCGACGGCCGTATAACTGAGAAAGCAGTTAGGTTCACTTATGACCTAGGTTGAAAAATTGTTAAAGTTTATTAAAAGAATTAATTCCGCAATCTTTTGAAAACGCAAACTAATACCTGAGATGGATAACTTGATAACTAAAAGAAAATTAAATACAATGTCGAATTTATGCTTCAAACAAATTTTATCAGACGCACGATTCCATATTAAATTCACAAACGCCACGAGTTACGTTTTGACGTCGTCAATGTTGCGCCGACAGCTATTTTGCAAGATTCGTTTACCTGAGAGAAAAATGTTATTTATAGATATATTTTATTGAAATTTTTATGCATTATTAAAAAAAAAATGTTGATTATGGTGTATGCCAATTTTTAACTTTATAGTGTTAGTGAAACAGAAGATATTGAAAATGTTCGCGTTTTTTGGGGACAACCCTCGTACTTATTATAGCGTAAGCATTTTAAAGCCAGATATTTTATAAAATGAGTCAAATTGCGTTCTGCATGTTTGTGAATATAACAAAATATCATACTTTCTTCTTATAGATGAATACAGACAGTACCTGTTCTCATCGGGACCTTATAACAGAAAATCAACGTTGTCATTTGTCAAGCGGAAGGAAATGAACACAGTTATCAATACATATCGCAATTATCGAACGAAAGATCGGAGCACCACTCCTTCGGTCATTATTATTGGAAATGAATCAAGAATTTTGAAATCCGATTCTGATAAGAACATTTCAGATCATTGGAGCTTTTTTAGTGCTTTTATCATAGCAATAATAATTTGTGCTACACTGCTCTTGGGGGTAATTATCAAAATGGCCATTAAAATTATAAGAAAATATGTATGCAGAAGAAAAGACAAAATCCGTCAAAAAGGCTCACCCTTGATTATGTCTGATCCAATAAGGTCACAGTATTACGAATTGCACAGCATAAGTGCTTATAATGGTATATATGTAGCTGTGGATGAAATAGGCCAATCCTAAATCAATACTACGTATCTTACAACTATAACATCCAAGTAACAAGTATATTCAAGTATACACGAGAACAGAAAGAAAAGCTCACAGAAAATCAAAATGCATTCCAGAATTCTTCACTGCAAGAATTTGAGATAAAAGGATGATTGTATTAGTGAATAAAGAACTTTTATCTTGAAAATCGGCTAGCCTAATCTATAAATAATCTCCGTTCATATGGGATTAAAGTTGAATGCAGAACACAGTTAAGAGTTGCTAACATCTCTATGTTGTTGTTATATTTGTTGGTCAATAAAGAAATCAGAATCTTTACTCTCTACGAGAATATGATACATCAAGATACTCTTCGATCTATCTGGACACAAAGGTCGTAAAATGTAAATTTCGTATAAATTCTAAATTGTATTCTACGACTTTTCCCCCTACAAATTCAGAAAAAATGAAACCTTTCACACTTTGGCCACAATTCATTACGAATTTTTTTTTAATACTAGTATGTTGATGTATAGTATGCCTTATGTAATTTGTCGTCAGATTTTGATCCAAAGGGACTTGCCTCACTTTTTTTCATCCAAGACAATATGCAAGTTAACATTTTAAAGTAACATGGTACAGAATTAAATACCAACATAAAATATATCAAGTCAAGGTTACTCCCAAATCATACATTCAAATAAGATACGATTTTAATTTTTGAGAACATCAACTACGACGCTTCACGTTTGTATATTTTATAGGTAGCATATGAGTGTTTCATAATAATATGCCGGTGAGAAGCTTTGCAGTTCATATATCTCATGAATTTTCAAAAATTAAATTCATTTCTTATATTTACATTTTTTATGTTCCACAAACAAAGTTTGAATATATATATATATGTATATATATAGATATAGATATACAGTTATGATTAAAACGGTCAAAGAGTAATTATTTTGAAAATACTGTTCAAATTGTTTTTGCATTCAATATGTGACATGCCCGTAGGAAGCAAATTCAGCGGGGGGGGGGGGGGGGGGGGGGGGGGGGGGGAGGGAGGGCTATCTACTATCAAAAAAAAGGTCATCAAAAGTTATTATTCAGGGGGTATAAGCGTATAGTAGCTATGTTTTCTATAGTATTCTAATATATCGGCAAAATTATGCCCCCCCCCCCCCCGTTCTTATACCCATGTGTTGTATTTATGGTCAAAATGTTATTTTTGACTGTGATTTGTAATAATTATGCTGACCATTACATATATATACATGTATGTAGTAGGTTTTCCTAATAAATTTATCGGTAAAATTTGTATATATTCCTTACTGAGAGCGTCGTGGCAACGAACCCGAAGTACAATTTGTACTTCGTAATAAACTTGCTTACATGTAAAGAGAAAAATAATGAATACGGTATTGTACGAAAACAATTAAAGATGTAAAATTTTGTGCTTTAATCAATACATTTCATTTTTTTTTTTTTTTTTTTTTTTTTTTTTTTTTTGAAAACAGTCTTTTGTATAAAATACTCGGCCTATTTATATGGCGTTAAAAGCTAATTTTACACAGGTACTTGAGTCTTGGTTTATAAATATGTACGTACCTTATTGATATGTAAAAAAGTATAGAACATTATTTAAATATCAGTAATGTATAAACATATTTATAAACCAAGACCCAAGTACCTGTGAATTTTGAAACCCCCCCCCCCCCCCAAATCAATTTACCAGTAAAATGTGCAGATTCAGTGCTTTTATACTTGACGGGAATGAAATAAGAGTATCTGAAGTACAATATCCATAACATAGTATAACAGGTTTCACAATAAACGTCAATTAATGAAATTGTTAATTTTCAAGTTTTTACAAAGGGGGGGTTGGGGGGTGGAGACGTACATTTACTTCAAGCGAGATTTTGAACAAAGTATTTCTTCCTGCTATAAGCCTGTAGGCTGTCAGTAGAAACTACAAAATATTTTCTGTCGGTAGTAGTATAGATTCAATTCCCCGCGCTTGCGCGGGATTTCATCTAGTGCTTCATAAAACCAATACACATTTTATTGTGAAAACACTAACTGCACTAACTTTAAATAAAATGAGCCTTTTAAAAATATTCAATTTTCCTATACATGTTCTAACAAAAAATATGGATATGTGTACCCCAAATAATTGCAATTTAACTTTGAAAACAATTTTTAACATGACTAGTAAAGGAAATGGAATTATTGAATATATAATTGTTCCATAATAAAGCTATCAATTGTTACAACTTCCTGCTATTTTTAGAAATATCTCTGTATTCATTGATTTTTTTTTTTAATTGCTTCTGCTCAGAAGAAATCTTGCAAAATCATAGCTTAGTATTTTCCTCTTTCCAAATGGTTAGAAACAACATACAAGTACTAACACTGAATCATGACCTGAAAGAAATTTTCTTTTTTATTTTCTTTTTACTCAAAAAGACTGATTAGAAGCAGCAATTTTTAAGGACCCTCTATACACCAATGAAAAATGTTTTTAGGCTCTGAGAAAATTATATCATATAAAGATATAAATATGGAGTTTATCTATTTAATTTTCAACATAGGGTACCTGCCATTTATCCCCAGGAAAAATATTCAAAGACAATGAATTGTTCGTGAACTGAAATCACTGCTGTTTATTTAAATGGCAAAAATACATGCAAATAAGGCATTCAATTAATTCAACTAGACCAAATGAAATGTTCAGAATTTTTGAATTAATTACAAATTGAATAATAAATTTAGATTTCAATTTATTTCATTTTAGATCTAAGGGCAGATCACTCTAACTTCATAAAAATACCATGGAATTGGAACTCTTTAATGTGCAGTGTATAGAGGGTTCTTAAGTGATATAAAATGCAACTAGAAATATGTCCATAGGACATGAATGCCCCACCGAGGGTAGATTAGTAATGCAAAATGAAAATTTGTATTAGTGTATGAATTTGATGTGAATAACTTGAACAGTTTCTTTAAAATTGAAACTGAAATCTAAAAAGTTGGATATAGATGATAAATTCTCACCAAATTATGTATAAGTGCATAAACTTAAATAAATATATCTTAAATGGTTTCTGCAAATCTAAGAAAAGTGAGGTCAAGGTCACAGGAAAGTCCAAGGTCAAATGTTTTTGATGCAGTTGAATACTTCTCACAAATACGTATCAGCATACTTACATTTGATAAAAATATTTTGAATGGTTTATTTAAAACTGAGCTAAACACTAATTCAAAATATATGAAGTCAAGGTCAAAAGAAAGATCAAGGTCAAAAATGTTGATGCAGTTGAAAAGATTACATCAGTATGTATTAGCATATGAAGTTTGATAAAAATATTATAAATGTTTTCATTAAAACTGAGTTAAACACTAATTGAGAACAGTGAGGTCAAGGTCAAAAGAAAGGTCAAAGTCAAAAAATATTGATGCAGTTGAATAACTTACATCAGTATGTATCATAATATGAAGTTTGACACTAAATTAAGAAAAGTGAGGTCAAGGTCAAAGGAATGGTCATGGTCCAAAAATGTTGATGCATTTGAATAGCTCTCATCAGTATGTTTCAACATATGAAGTTTTATTACACTACCTTGAATGGTATCTTTAAAACTGAGTTAAACACTAATTTAAGAAAAGGGAGGTCAAGGTCAGAGGAAAGGTCAAGGTAAAAAAAAATATTGATGCAGTTGAATAGCCCTCATCAGTATGTATCAGCATATGAAGTTTGATAAAAATATCTTGGATGGTTTCTTCATTCTCATCAATATCTATCAGCATAAGAAGTTTGATAAAAATATCTTGGATAGTTTCTTTGAAACTGAGCTTTGAACGGAGCTAAACTCAAAGCGTGACGGAGAGACAGATGGAAGGACAGAAGGATGGAAAGACGGAAGGATGGACGGACGGAAGACGGACATGACAAACACTATATGCCCCGGCCATATTCATGGCGGGGCATAAAAATTATTTAACAAACATAAATTCTGTAACAATAAACATATGTATATATTCCAAATTCATAACTTGTTGTTGCTGGGGTTTGTTTTTTTTTATAAACAAATGCCCTAATATAAAATGCTGTAAATTAAAAATGAAAGAATTCTTATTGCTCAAGAAATATTTGTGAAATTTCATCACTATTTAATATATGTCATACTGATTATAATTTCATCAAGCATGCAATGTTAATAATGTCACATCATTTATCCATATCACATTCCAAAAACGTAAGCATACAGTTACATCAGCTATATTCATCATTATTATCAAATTATCACTTTCATTTCATTCATGTACCAATTATATGGTGTAATGGTATATGTACATAAATATTAGATAAGAACTTTCTCTTACATTGAAACATTTCTTAATTTCCTATCATAAGTTCAAATAAATATTTATGTAATATTACAGAAGATATTTTCTTGGTAAACACATTGCAACACATGACTATCAACACATTGACACAAAAAGTACTGAACAACCTTACACAATTTAAATATTTACATGTAAAACAATCCCTACATGATTGATTTATTTTTCATTATGAGATTAAAAGAAACATAAACATGCTAACTAAACAAAAGGGAACACATTCGTCAAAAAGAAGCCATTTGTATTGTAATGTCTCTTTATGTACAAACAAGTCAATCCCCCTGTGAGAATCTCATTCAATATTACCGGTATATCACCTCTCAATGCACAACAAGTCTTCATGTTTGTTACCTCAACAAGGATGTCCGTTCAAAAGCTCCATGTCTGGCTTTTCTCCTACAACGCCATCTGCAATTTTAAAATTTACAAACTTGGAAAAAATAGTACAAGTTTTGGACAAGACTGTAGCTCTACTGGTTTGAACTCGTACATGCAATATCTTAAATTTTTTTTATTTTTCAGTCAGGCCAAAACTGTATGAGGAGTAGGTTTCAAATTGACTTCAAGGTAATATGGTAAAAGTTTTCAAAATTCAAAATTGATGCACAGAATAATGCATTGTTTTACTATTGGAACAGAAGCATTTTAACGAATTTCATTATATATTGTTACTACAGCAAAAGCATTTATCAAGTTCAAATGCAATATTCAGAAATATTGACCTTGATTTCGTCTACTGCATGTAGAGATGTATTCACCAAATTTTATTCAAATCAAAGCTGTGGCAAGCTGTTAAATTTTGAAAGAATTTTACAGATAAACCTATTCTTAGTAACCACCAGACACCATATCATGTATCAAATTCTAAATCTGATAATTAGGGAATTTTAAGTAAGTCTACTTGATGTTCAAGTATTCACAAAATCTTTCAAATCAAACAAATGCTGTGGCAAGCAGTCTTGTTTTTTGGGGGGTTTTTTTTGTTTGTTTGTTTTTTTTGAAGAATTCTGCAGATATACCCTTTCGTAGTAACAACTGGGCATCATATCATGTATCAAATTCCGAATCTGAAAAAGAGAGCTTTTTGAGAAAATCTACTAAAATCATACCCCGTTTTATTCATACCAGTACCAAATCTGTAGTAGGAGCTTTGAATAGAATATGCACAAATTTTACTGTGCAATTACCTAACTCTGACAATGTTGTAATCATTGTAATGTATTTAACAAAGCCATCTCTTTTAGTATTTACACGAAGAGATTAAAATCAAGATAAATGATCTATTACATGTATAAAGCTGACTTGATGGTTTTGATTGATATTGTCAGTTCTAATTCAGTTTAAACCACTTTTACATGTAATAGCATTTCGTAAAGAGTAACATTTATAAATTGAAACTTGACTCTTTATGGCATTGATTTTGGAGGACTCATTTGATATACAGCAAGCACTCTAACAAAACAAACCAGATTTAAATAAATTTACACAATTGCACAGGGTATGATTTTTCCATTTCAGTTTTAAACGATTTAGAAAATGACAAAATAAATCCAGCAATTGGACATTTTAGAAAAGTCTGTTGCTAAATGTACAAATATTTATTTACCATTTTGTGTATGTGTTGCAGTTCCACCTTCATTAGAATTTTCAACACCATTTTCATCTGCAGCCCTCAGGAGCCCTAAAAATAAAAATTACATGTATTATCTTAACATATAAAAAAAAAACAACACATTTTGATTACTATTTTTAAGTATCAAACTATTGTTGTCTGACCCTAAGATGTAAATACTGTAACCTCAACCCTTAGGTCACAACTTCTAAAACTATGTACAAGTTACAGCTTTACTGATTGATTGATTGTGTGTTGTTTTACGTCCCGTTCGAGAATTTTTCACTCATATAGAAAGAAGACGGGCGTGTTTGGCATGTGATCTGCAGGAACAAGGCGTACGAAACATTTATAGTTTAAATGTCTACAATTTGATTGGCTGACCACAGCTGGACACACGTTACAAAAGTTACGCACATTGAAAAATGTTACATTTAGTTTGAAATACTTTGTCAAATTTAATATATCAGTCCACTTATCTTAATAATTACTACCTGTAAAACTTAGTAAGGCTTCACATAAATAATAAACACCTATAGGATATTGTTAAATGCAATTGCATGTATATATTAAAGTATCAGTAGGTTGGAAGAATTAATTGGGTTCACTTTCTGTGCAACAGAACCAGAATTTATCTTTTTGAAAATAAATCAGTACATAAAATTAAACTGAAAAAAGAACTGACTGTTTGTACTAAAAAAAAAAAATATTAACACTTGATGCAAGGATAGAACCAAAAATACTGACATGTCACATGCATACATGTAATTTCTGTTTACATTTTCTATGTACTCATAAGAGTCCTAGTTAATGAGAGAAGCAAGCCTCCCCCCCCCAAAAAAAAAAGAATGAAGTTTATCAGGGGTTCTATGCCCACAAGAGGACTCAGGACCTTCTTAAATGTTGTGAGAATGACCCCTACACTGGGGTAATCCTCATCTTCAAACAAGGGAATATGAATTTCACAATTCTAAAATACAGAGTTAATCTTTGAATACTTAATGACCCAGGGATAATTACTGATTACTATGGGGTGATGATTTAAACAAACTTGAATCTACACTACCTGAGGATGCTTCCATATTAATATGACCAATAATTGCTTTGATGTCCTGAGAGGAAGATTTTTTAAACATTTTTCCTAGTATGCAATCCATAACTCATAATTTGAACAAACTTAAATCTACACTACCTAATTATGCTTCCATATAATTATGACCAATCATGGCTTTGTTGTTCTTGAAAAGAAGAATTTTAAAGATTCTTCCGATGTATTCCTATGTAAAACATTGATCAACCATTGTGGACCAAATTTACCCTCGGAGGTCATGATTTGAACAAATGTTAATCTACACAACCTGACGATGCTTCCATGTCAATATGACCAATCAAGGTTTGCTGTACTTGAGAAGAAGATTTTTAAAGATTTTTCCGATGTCGCAGGTGAGTTAAGGCTAGGAATAGGGATTTCTATGCAAATAATCTAATTAAAATGCCTAAGGACTATATCTATTATGCAGAGAAAGTTAAAACTTATAGTTTAATACATACTTGGTACCCACGACATGAGATAGACAGTACACATTATGACGTCATATAATGATGTCATTGTTCTTTACTACACAAGATTATAAGAGACATCAACAAAAATGCTTCGGCGCAAGGGCATGCTCCATTTTATTTAACTGAAATAAGGTATATTTAGAAGCAAAATTTCCAAAGTTTGCTGGTATTGCTGCACAAATATCAACAGCTGAGTTGTATAATTTCTATTTGTAAAGTTTTAAGTTGAATCAAGGTAAAAATGTACAGTCTGGTTTAAGTTTCCTCAAATTTCGATTAAATGAGAAAATGCCTAGGATTTGTGCAGTAGTTTTATTAATCTATAGAATATTCTTCTTACTATTATAAAATTTTTATGTAAAAATAAATAGGGTAATCCCTTGCGCCGAAGCTGTTTTGTTGAGGTGTTTTATTACCTCCAGTAGGAAAGATCAGTGACGTCATAATGTGTACTGGCTATATTATATCGTGGGTACTAAATATGCATAAGAAAATGAATCAAAACTTTCTCTGAATAATTAATATACTTCTTATGCGTTTTTATTAGCTCATTTGCATAGAAACGCCTATACCTGGCCTTAACTCACATGCGTGTATTCCTATGTAAAACTTTGATCGTCCATTATGGCCCCACCCTACACCCGGGGTCATGATTTGAACAAACTTAAATTTACAATGCCTGAGAATGCTTCTATATAAATATAATTAATCATGTTCTTGCTTTTTTTTGAGAAAATTTTTCCTATGTATTCCTATATTAATCTTTTCTCCCCCATTGTGGCCCCAACCTTCCCCTCGGAGTCATAATTTGAACAAACTTGAATCTACACTACCTAATTATGCTTCCATATAATTATGACCAATCATGGCTTTGTTGTTCTTGAGAAGAAGAATTTTAAAGATTCTTCCGATGTATTCTTATGTAAAACATTGATCGACCATTGTGGACCCAATTTACCCTCAGAGGTCATGATTTGAGCAAACATTAATCTACACAACCTGACGATGCTTCAGTATCAATATGACCAATCAAGGTTTTGCTGTACTTGAGAAGAAGATTTTTAAAGATTCTTCCGATGTATACTATATTCTATGTAAAACTTTGATCGTCCATTGTGGCCCCATCCTATCCCCAAGGGTAATGATATTAACAAATTTGAATCTACATTACCTGTGCATGTTTTCTATATCAATATGACTAATCATGGCCTTGCTGTTCTTCATCAGAAGATTTTTAAACATTTTTTTTTTACTATATGTTCCTTTCAATACTAATTTTCACTTATTCTTAATTATCTTCTCTTGAAAGAGGGCATTACAAAAGACCTTCATTCATTCAGTGCCCTCATTTTCAACTCGGAAATCTGCATCAATTTTATGAAAGAAAATTGCATGACTCGTACTCTTTTGCTCATTCTTCCCTGGGTGCGCTGAAAAATCAGTAGAATTCCATTGTCCTCCTTTTCTCCTGTTCAACCAGTAAATGATTGTACATATACAGCATATCACAACAACTGGTAAAAGAGTACCAAGCAGAATCCCAGTTATAGATCCAACATTTCTACAAATGAAATATCATAATTGGTTTATTAAGAGAATAAAGTGTATAAGCAATGCAACTAATCACAGAGTGCAGCCCACAATATATCTGTGAAAACAATTCATTTCTTTTACCTGACAGAAGCATTAGAAGAGTTACTGTCCTTATTTCTCCAGTTTGTCCTGCCAGGAGTTGTTTGAGCTTCAGACACTGTTGTTTGTGAGGGTTTTGTTATACTCATTGTTGCAGGAGATGGTGGCTTTGTTGTGTTTGTCACTATTTCAAAACATAGTGGATCTGTAAAAGTAAATAAAAGAGGACTTCTGAAAGTACATAATATTCTATATTTTTCCAACTTCTAAAGGATGACTGTACTTAATGCTGGAATTTGGGTCTTTTTTGGTTGTTCTTTTGGTTGTCCTGTTGCTATTATTTCTTTCTCCTATTCCATTTTTATATATCTATGAAAGATTTCTGTCAATATGGCACCAAATCTAAATGTTAAAATGATTTTGGACTGTGATACAATACAAGAGGCCCAAGGGCCTTAATGGTCACCTGAGTATAATGTAACGATCCATAGATTAAAAAATAAGCTGATAAATAAAGGCATGTTGCCCAAAAGCAAGAAAAACACGATAATCAGGGATCAGCAAAATATTAATTTAGTACTCAATAACAAATCTTAAAGTTGATCTATTTATTTGCCCGTACTTTCCCCCATTTGTCACTATCCTCATATGGATTAAACAAACCAATAGTTCTAGTGCACTGTTAGTTAACACATTTCATTCCCCTTCACATTGGCCTCTCTTGTTTTTTTTTTTATTTACTGTACAAAGACATGGTATTTTTGTCTCATTTTAATTTATCTAGTATTGATTTCAAATATTTAACTGACCATTAAAAACTATGAAAGTACTTCTGTACAAAATATTATAAAATTTCTTGTATAATTCTGCTATTCAATTGACCTTTTAAGTTACATTAACAGTTACTTTTTTTTTTTTTTTGAATTTTGAATTTGAAAACGTCATAGTTCTTTGGTACGTTGCATGAACTGATGAAGAGTACATGTTCATGTAATTTGCTGCCACCTGAATGCTGAAAATCAGTAAAATAGCTTTATGAGAGAGAGAGATAGATAGAGAGAGAGAGAGAAAGAGGGAACACTGTATATTATTTGAAATTAAAATTGCTACAACCGGCCCATAGAAAACAATTCGAGTACGGAGAGGGGTGGGGGGGCTCATCGAAATAAAACAATAATAAAAAAATTATCTTAATTTCATCTACTTAATCATGCGAATTTACAGTTTTGTTTGTTTTCTTTCTTGTTTTTATTTATTTTTAAACATTTAGAATTTTGTTTGTTAACATGCCGCTCCAGTATGTACATGTATGTAGTGGGGTGGGGGGTGGGGGGGGTGGGGGGGGCAGGGTTAGACAAATAGCATTGCCCGACGCCCGGGACAACCAATTTTGTTTGGCAGGCAAGTTATTTGATAAGTGGTACCTGCCCGCGGACAAGTGTTTGTCAAGTTAATAAAAAATTGAAATGTAATGAATCACAGTAGAGCACCTGTTTTTCGCTGCTGTTCATCACTACATCGAATACTCAGTCGGAACTCCTCTAGAATTTACCCATTCATGTGTATTTAAAATAAAACATAGCAGCTATTGATTCCATGGCAAAAATGTTGACGAGGATTTTTAGACCTTTTTAGGTATTGTAAAATGTAAAATCATGCCATGAATATAAACGTTTTACACTGATACTAAAATTGGAGCTGTTGACTGGCGATCACAGAAAGTCACTATCGGCATGCTGTGGTGGTTTTCATAATCAAATACTGTATAATATATTTTTGTTTTCAATTAAATAAATACACATTATTTTTAAATAAAAAAAAAATAGGGAATACCTCATTAAAGTATTTGAAGAAAAAAGACTGAAACTTTGACTTTACTAATACCCCGAAAATACGGAAAGAAATCTGAATCTTAAATGTAAAATTTTACTACTAAAATATGTGATCATGTATGCATATTATGCAGGATATGAAATAACTTTTTTCAGTTTGAAATTGTAAGTTGACAATGTGAACTTTAATTCTATTAAATGCTTGATATTCATATGCCTTGCAATTAGACATCATCAAATGATTTGACGTCTTCATTTTTTTTCTCTTTGAGTATTTTTGGGATGTTAAAGTGATACAGAGAAATGTTTAAATTATATACATGTACCTGTATATAGATCATGTAGATATGCGCACTGCACAAGCTAAGAAATCTCCCTGGAACAAGACTTACCTCTATTTTTTTCTGTGGAAGAATTAAGTGATTTTGAGTTTAGTTTGGTCCCCATGTAGTGTATCAGTTGAGAAATAATTTAATGTTTAACGATAATGCTTTCATTTTGTGTTAATTAAGAAAAAGGTGGGACAAGCATACTTTTTGATAGGACAAGTAATTTTACGATGGTAACCTGTCCGAGGGCAAGTACTGAAAAATTCTATTTGTCTACCCCTGTGGGGGGGGGGGGGGGGGTGGGGGGGGGGGTCATGAACCAGTAAGGAACACAAACTATTCAAATGATCATTTACATGTATTTGAAAACAACTTCAAAAAAATAATATATTCTTATCTAAGGACCAGTTTTGTTTGTTTTTGTTTTTTGATTGTTGTTGATGCTGTTTTTTTTTATAAGCCTTCCATTAAACTCGCCTTATAAAACAATGATTTATAGCATGGAAGTAATTTATAAATGATCTGTAAAACAAAACTCAAGGTACACTGTATGAGAATTTTTAGTGATTATCACGACCTACATATACATGTAATGGACGACAACCTAGCTAACATGTAAATGTAAACGGCTAAATATGAAAACTTAGCATTTTACGTGTACAGTATGTCTCAGCTATTTCATAGATAAGATCATAGTTCAGTTGTTTGTCTTTCAAACATTTAAATTACGATTTAGCAATTGCAATTACAATTGGAAGTTCAAACTTATTTTAAAATGCATGAATAATTGTAAATAAATGAATTTGAAAGCTTTTTTTTTTATTAAGATACTCTTATCAACTTCACTCCATCCAATTAATCGAAAATAAATTTAAGAGGGCTGGGTGGTTGTGGCCATTTTCAGACTATATTGATCTCCTTTAAAAGAAGAGTTCCATATAAAGATATACAAAAATGATCAAATTTTAAAAAAATGTTTGAAATTTTTGTTTGCTAAATGATAGTTGACAGATTAAGATATCATATCTAAAAAATATAGTTATATCTGATGGTTAATTTGTTGACCCCCCAGCCTCCTTAACACCTTTTCTTCTTTTTCTTTCAAGATATACTTAGCTTGTAAGTTAAGAAAAATAAAAGTTATAATTCTACATCAACTGTATGGAGAAATTCTTGAAAATTTATCAACGTTCTCCATATTCTCACTTACATGTACATGTTTCGATCATCATAAAAACAGTAATGATCGATTTCACTACTGTATTTGGAATATACAAGGGGTGGGGCTTACTGATGGCAAGATTAAAGCGGGGTCCGCTTCACGCATGAGTGCATAAAGCTTACCCGGAAAGCGAACGCCGGGTTCGCTCTAGCGGACCCAGAGCTGACCCCGAGCGAACGCAGAGCGACCCGAGGCGCACCCAGAGTGGTCCCAAATTTTCTGAAGCGGACCCACAGCGGACCCCGAGCGAACCCAGGAAGCAAACCCAGGGTGCACTTTGGGTTCGCTCTGGTGTTAGGTTGTGTCCGGTCGGTACTGTACCTCTTCATTCGTTTGCATAATACATCTCCATGTTTTATCATTTCTATGTTTATAATAATTATATGTTTTCAAGAAAGAGAAGTATTACTTCCTAATAGGATAGTATGCTAAATGCATTGCAAGTGATATTCAATATTTTATCAATTTAAGCACTCCTGCTAAAAATGCCTATTGTCAAAATTTAAATCTGCTTTGAAATTTTTCGAGCTCTTATAGAATACAGTAAAACACAGTTATAGCGAAGTCCTCTGACCTTAAATTTACTTTGCTGTATCCGTAATTCTTTATATCCGAATAAAAAATTCGTAAAATTATATAAAGCAAATTCGTAATACACGTTTTCCTTTAAGTATGACTGCCGAATATGTTCAGGGAAATGTTAAATGCAAAAAAAATATCTTGGAGAACTACAAATTTTAGATAAATTTAATTTCAAACACACATACTTATGGAAACAATGTCAGTTCAATACTTTAAATTTTGTGATCTTAAAAATTAGTTACAAAAGATGTATTTTGCGTTATTTTAACTTACACGGGATACAAAATCAATTCTCTATATCCGTATATTCATTATATCCGTGTTCGGTTTATCGTAAAATATTACAAGGATTTGTTAAGATTTTTGCCGGGGATCTGAAAAAACTTCGTTATATTCATAAGTTCGCTATATCCGTGTTCGTACTAAATGGGTTTTGCTGTATCTATATTTACAAGATTTGGAAGAAAATTCTTTGACCCTATGACCCCCAAAATAATGCCAGGAAACTTTTTGAACAGCTCAAGAATATGCATTTTAAACATTACAGACCAAATCATTTCCATGTTATTTCATTTCCTATGACAGCAATACCCACTCCCCTCCCACAATCCATAGCACCTGTGCTGCATGCTAAACATAAGCTCCATGCACCAAAATGCAGATAACTGAGATTGAATTTCCTTGATTATAATAGAATATCTGGTCTAAAAATTGAACCATTCATTGTATCTCATACTACAAGTTATTCCTGGGACCATGATCTTAGGCAAACTTAACTATACTTCAACCAGAAGTCTCTGATGAGACTGTAGCTCTACTGGTCTGTAAGTATAACGAAGGAAAAGTATCACTTGGATTTGAAACTTTGCAACATGCAGCAATAAATAGAATTATGTATCTTAAGGTGGCTCATTACACCACTTCTTGATGATGTATTACACAGAAAAATAAACCTCCATTGTTTCGTCCATTTTCTCTTGGGGAAGAATTGTACAAGGTTCGCTTTGCTGATGATCTAAGTCTTTAAAATGCTCTAAAAATAACTACATGTGATGTTGAAAACGATGAGAACAACGGATTCATTATAAATCACGAAGGAAGAAGGTTTATTTTTAAGTAGACACCAAAGAGAATGACAGTCAAATCTTCGCTACCCAAGTAGTGTACAATGTCATAGCGAAAGTAGCAAGTTCTACCACTGACAACATGTACGTATAGAGGAAATTTGAGTTGAAATCTACAACCTCGTTGAAATAAATTATGCATGTAATTGACTTGCGCTTTTAGAGTACTGTACTCTTGTTGGTTTGTGTGCTTGTCTTTATTTCTTTGTAAATTGTAAATCATTCTAGAAAATTTAGCTTATTCTGATATGTTCAACCGTTCCTGAGTGTTTTGGGTCAGGGGATTTAGGAAAGATAACTCTTGCAAGTGGATTTTTTATTCCAATTATTTTTTAAATTGGAATTTTCATTTCCTTAAAACATTTTTCATTCAATTTGTCACTTGTTATCCATTAATATACATTCCTTGTCTATTTATAATATAACTGATTTTCCAAATTATTCATGCAATGATTAAGAAGAAAATCACATAAATTCTTTTTTGAGAGAAGATTATTTTTTTTAATAAAAATAACATTGAATATTATGAAGTGTTATTATATTTCTTACATATATCTGAAGATGATATCCATCACTTGACACTGAGATTTCTGCAATACTATCAATCAGAAACTTGAAATGAAACATTTAACCAAAATCAGAAAAAAGATTAAAAAATCTTAAAAATATTTATTGTATCATAACCTCCATTTGGATATTTGAAATCTACATAATAAGTGGTGCTGTAATGAATCTAAAATAAACTGGGGGTGTAATGAGCCTCCTTAATTAGCCTACTTGTGTACCAAGTTATAATGAAATCAAAGTATTTCACAGAAATAACCATTTTTAGTAACCATGGCAACATCATTTACTGAAATCAAAAAACCGATATACACTATTATGTATCATAGTGTAGTCTAATTGTGTGCCATATTTGACTGAAATCAAACCAAACTTTTGCAGGAGTAATGTTTTAAAGGAATTTTACAGAAATTTCTATTTTTAGTAACCATGGCAACAGCATTCAATCAAAGATTGGCTAAGTTGTTCTTTAAAAGTTCTCAGACAAAAGACATGCAGCCAGAAAAACAAGGGAATAACTTTGATTAGAAAAGCATACTTTGGCTTTGGTTCAGATAAACTAATAAAAATAAGCTTTTAACAAAATAAACTTACATTTATATACATCTGTTGAGTTGTAAACTATTTTTATTTCTTTAAGTGAGAAATTTTGGCGGTTTTGGACTTGTCTCCCTCTTTCGTTAAATTCTGGACAATATCCTAAATGAAAAAAAAAATTAATACACATGTAAATTTACAATTTACATAAATCAAACTTATATCAAATTCAACAACAAGTTTTTCACAAAAAAAAATAAAGGTAATGAGCTGAAAAAGATCGTCTTATTTTGAAACTGATCTCTTGTCCTGCATACCTTTGCTATTACAACCTTAAACTTAATTATTATAATAAAAAAAGATTTCAAAAAGTTAATTTAATATTTCGATCTTTCTCAGCATATTACTAAGGAGGGAATTAACTAACAATTCCCTACCAAGACTCTCAAATACAAATGTCAATAAACATTCTTACTTACAAGCATTGCTAATAAAGAGAAATTGCAAATTTGAAAGATGATACTGTAGAGCCAGTGCAAAGTTTTATTAAACAGTTATGAAATGGATCTGAGGGAAATATAAAATTTATGGTTCCCCAAGAGAGGAAACTATTTCCAGAGGCGGCGAAGCCGCTAAGGGAAATAGTTTCCTGCCGAGGGGAATCATAAATTTGACATTTCCTGAGTACCCATTCCGTAACTGTTTTATTATACTGAAACAATCTTGGGAGATTTATTAAACTAGAGACTCAGACATTTTTTAAAAGAATAAAGAGGTGTTTAAATAATCACAAATGCATGTCATAAAAAAATATTGTAAGATAACTAATGCATCAATACCGAGAAAAATAAAATTATTAAAAAATATAAAATAATTTCACTGACACTTCGAAGGATTATCGTTGTCTTCATTTTGCTAGAATTCCAGTATGATTTTGACATCACATGTCGAAATGTTTTGACGTCATAGTTACATTGCTAATAACATTACGTCACAGACTTGAGATTCTTTGAAGGGTCCGCACACTGTTCATTTTAATTGGTTAAAATTATTAATAAATATTCATGAGGGAGTAGTCCCAGGGAGTAGCTCCGATTTTTCAGGGAGTAGTCCTCAGATGAGTGAAATGGTATCTTCTCAGGGAAATAGACAGTTTTATGCACAGGTACTTGTGGACAGGACCCCCCCCCTTTTTTTTATACCTCTACTGTTATTACTCTATATAAAATCAATACCATAAAACCACAGGTACTTGTGGACAGGACCCCCCCCCCCCCCCCCCCCCGATATTCAACCCCAGGGCTTGTTGGAAATTTTTTTCACAAATTATATTTATTACACTTATTCATCATGTGTACCATAGGAAAAAATCGTGAAAACCCCAAAATAATCGTTCCACATAAAAAATACCCCACTATACATTATAAGAGAGAAAGGTCTCTCTTATAATGTATAGTGGGGTATTTTTTATGTGGAACGATTATTTTGGGGTTTTCACGATTTTTTCCTATGGTACACATGATGAATAAGTGTAATAAATATAATTTGTGAAAAAAAATTCCAACAAGCCCTGGGGTTGAATATCGGGGGGGGGGGGGGGGGGGGGTCCTGTCCACAAGTACCTGTGGTTTTATGGTATTGATTTTATATAGAGTAATAACAGTAGAGGTATTAAAAAAAGTTTTTATTGTGCATGGAAAAATATTACCCTCAAGTTGCTCGTTTACAAAGTTCCAAGACAGAAGCATGCATTTGGGAATCAAATTTCACTTTCTAAATTAGGATCAAACTCGATAATATAAGTATTAACTTTATAATTCCAAATTTTGTTCTCATCAATATTTTATTTATATACGTGAAATATAAAGATGACATGTACATGTATCATAAATTTGCACATCACAGTTTAATGATATTCTTTTTTTAAAATCAAAGTCAAAAGAAGTCAAAAATGATCTGAAAGGTGTTTTAAAATGCTATCTAATCCATTATGTTGTGTAATCCAGCCAATTTTTATGGAACCCATGGGTGTCTGAATAAGACAGATTTTACTGAAAGTTTTTTTTCCAATATTTGTGCAAGGAAATCTTAAACACATCTACTAGCTGTCATAGATTTTTTTCTACATAGTATAATATGCTTTATTGTGAAAAACATATCAGAAAACTGAAATATAATCTTTTTGTATAGATGGGGAAAAAACCTATATTTTTATAAACAATTTTAAATGTGAATTAGAATTACACAAAATCTTAATGTAGATGTATTTTTTTTATTTTTTATTTCATTATTATTATTATTATTTTTATTTTTTTTTTTTTTGCACAAGAACAAGATTAACAAACCGGGCTGGATGTATCTGGGATCTGCACACACTTCTATTGTAGCATTTCCAAATCCGTTCACTACACAGTGGTATTTCAAAGTGGTACATTGTGATGGAACTAAAGCCGAGCAGTTCATAAGGTTTGCTGCTGTGTCCCAATCAAGTCTGTTTGTAGGGCATTTTTGAACTGTTTTTATTGTTTTTACTGCTGCAATCGTGCACTCATCAATTGCTCCAGATGATGCAGCCTAAAATATTTTCAATTTTCTTACTGAAAATTATGTTTATTAGTGTGATAAATAACATGTGTCATTGTTATCTTCTTTGCAAGTCCTGCATGCATTCTGATACATGTAATTTAAAAGAAATTTCATAATTAACATTTTTGAAAGTAATCATAACAGATCTTGAACTAGGAAAATTTCAATCAGCGGTGAAATATTTTATCAAAATTTGCTTCAAAATTGCCAAATGATTCCAAAAAAAATGATTTTTTTGAAATATTAGAATATATTAAAACTTAAGGGACTTGAGATACAAAGACAGACAAAAAGCAGACAACTTTCATTTAGCTCATTGTAAGAATACCACTCACCATGCTGAAGAGCAGGAACATCAAAAAACCAAATGTTTTAAAACCCCATTTGGTTTCAAAGAATTTAGTACACATCACAGTAGCAGCCATTAAGTTCTTAAAAATGATGCAACATATATGAACTTTTCCATGCTCTTTGGACAGAAATTCCCTAAATCCTAGAATTGTAGAAAAAAAAGTATAATTTGAAATGTCTTGAAAACACATACACACACATGGCCAATGGCCCTTGACACTCGCAGAGTACATGTCACAAGTATTTCTTTATACTCCCCAAGTTGCATTTTACCTGTTTTATGACAAAAATATAATTTTCTGTTTCTTCAAAAACATAAGTAATAAATACTTTCAAGTTATGATTTGCATGATCTTTTTTTTTCTTTTCTTATTTGCCTTGAGACAGCTTACAAACTAGAACTATCCGAAATGGGCATAAACCATAGGGAGAGAGCAGCTGCAGATCTTAATCCTTCTGTCCAATTCCAAATAAATATAGATAACACCTGCTTGATCAGAGATGCTCTTACAAAAATGATTAAGACTGCCTTCACACATTCAGGTTATTTATTTATCTTTAACTGGATGCATGTCCACTCATTATTCCACACTCCCAAGGAATGAATAGATTTACACTATCTGCTGTGTGACTGCATTTTTGTAGTAAAATATATAATGAATATTTATGACATTATTGTTAAAAAACAAGATTTTTTTTTAATTTGTCACAAAGCTTTTATAACAAAACAAAAAAAAAAACTGTTCAGTTTTAATATTCTTTTTTTTAATAATAAAAATTAATGCATTGTGGCTACTCACTTTGAAAAAAATAGGCTCTTTGAAAAAAATTTTCAAAGTCACTGTACATTAAAATTGGAAAACAAATTCAATGCACTTTAAAAAAAATTTACAAAGTGCGTTAAATTTGAGACAAAATCAACGCACTTTGAAAAAATTTTTCAAAGTGCATAAAGAGTGTACATCAACATTTTTTACCATGGAGACACTTAACACACTTTGAAAAAATATGTATAGCATCATTAGTCCCCTACTGGTGAAACCGGAGGGGACTATAGGTTTCCTCTGAGACTGTCTGTCTGTCTGTCCCTCTAGCTGTCCGTCTATCTCGCTGTTCCTCTGTCTGTCTGTCAGTCTGTCCCACTTGGTTTTCCGCTCCTTTTTTTTTTAATGTTTGTAGATATTGAGCTGATTTTTGGTATGTGAGTGTACAAAATTGAATACAATGCAAATCAAAAAAAAAATGTATAAAATGCATAAATATGTTTTTTCATTCCTCTAAATACAATTCAAATAACTGTTTAAAAAAAAGCCATCAAATTTTTCAGGAATAAACAATTTTTTTTATACTTCTAAATACTTATAAAATAACTATAATAAGACCATCATATTGTGCTGAAAATTATTTTCAATGAGCATACAAACTTGGACTCCATTTTGTGGCATTGCTCGTACCCCTAAGGATCATATTTAACATGTTTAAAAAAAATAGAAAATTATAAATACAGAAAATAAGTATTAGGAAGTCCTTAGTAGATTGAAATTTAGTTCTTTTCAAATTGAAAGTCCATTAATGTTCATTGTCAAAAATCAAAAAATTAATTATCTTTTTGCTAAACTGTTGTCAGATATCCATATGTTATTATATCTGGTAATCTCTCTGTAAACATCACACCTTGCACATTTTTTTTTCAAAGTGCATTAATATGGTCGATATCAATGTACTTTGAAAAGAAATATTATTTTTTTAAAGTGTGTTAACTTGGTTCCAAATTTAACGCACTTTGAAAATTTTTTTCAAAGTGCGTAATTTTTCAAAGTGCTTTGTAACAATGCATACTCAAACTCTTAGATTTTGCCTTAAAACTTTTTTTTTTTTTATACTAGGGTGTTTTTTTTTAAGTTTCAATGACCTGGTTTAAAGTTGCAATTCACATTTTTCTTCAGATGTACCAACTGGTAGTTTCTGGATTCTAAGTGCCTCAAATGTACATGTATGTGAACCCCAAATGTGAGACTAAGTCAATTTAATAATCAAAAGCCTGAAGGGCTTCAATGGCGTCGAATAAGAAAAACAATTTTTGATCTTTTTTAATTTGAAGATAGCAATGTCAAGTGGGGGACTCAGGAGACATAATAAAAAAAATAGTTTTGAACAAAATATAACAATTACAGTCTGGAGCCTTTTGTCATGGTTCTAATGGAGCAGGGTTCAAATTTACAAGACACCGTCAAACATGTTCATGCTAAATTCTTTTCAGTCAATTGAAGAACTATGAAGGATTTCATGAATTTATATAATATTCTTTCTAATTGCCAATGTCAAAGCATTGTTTTAGTGACTGCATCTAAACTTCAACCATGACAAGTATGATCGAGTTATGATAGGGCGTGGTATACGGTATACTGGGAAATGGAGGAAATGGAGAAATACAGTAATACTGGTCAATATCATTAGCTTTTAGGATAAAATTAGTTAGATTGTATAAGTAAAGCTAAGATTTATAAATTCAATCTTTTTAGTCTTGTAGTATTTGTGTTTATATAATTTTGTAATTATTTTACCACCTGTTGTGTTGTTTGTGTTACACGGTTATCGTTCTGTTAGTCATGTCATTTGACGCACCTTTTCTGTAGAAATTCATCCACAACCATCACCTTTTTCTTGTGTGAAAATAAAACATACATAGTTGTTTTGCAATAGAATTGATTGTAGATATAATTGATGCAATTTTATTTTCAAGCTTTTATTCATTGTGAGCGTTTTCAAAGAAATTGGTTTATAGCTATTGCTTTTTTCTAGTGTTGTCAACGAGTACCCGGTTAACCGGTTAATCATCGAATGATGCGAGTATCAGTCAGTAAAACTGCTACTCGGTTACTCTGATATGTTGAATTTATAAAGTAAATCAGTAAAAATAATGTATTTTTGTTTATTATGTCCCCATTTTATTTACCATTATTTAACGTTAGTCTCGACCTAGCGTTTTACAAATGCGATAGATTTGTTTTGATTAGTATTTCACAGTTTATCTAATTGATGATTTTGATTGCAAAGGTGTATGCAAGAAGGCTTGATTTAATTATAATTATCTCACATTATCCTGTGCTAGTCTGCTGTACAAGATTAAAGAAGATGCCGCCACAGGCATCGAAAGCATGGAAATATTTTTAATAGAATGGCTGAATTTCAATCTGTGAGGTGTAAATTAAGTGAAATGGAATTTCCACACATGGGTGGGACAACTAAAATGCTTAACCACCTCAGACTGAAGTTTAACTGTGAAACCAACGATATATAAAAACAGTGCGACATTTAACTTCGGAGACGACATTGTCCAGACTTTTTATTACCATTTCTAATTGTGATGTCCAAAAATAAATTATAACACTTGGTGGGATTTCTTAGCAGTATCTACAGGTCTCAAGTTGAACTCTCAAATATCTCTTTTTTTAAAGATATGAAATCTTAAAAGTCAGAATCCCATGGGAGAATGGTGGGATTTTTAGTCATAGCAACTATCCCACCTTTCTCCCATGGGAGAAAAAGTGTCAGATGGGATTTTTTCTCCCATAAATTTGCTCAAATGGGATAAATCCCACGGATATTGACAATGAGTCATTTTCTCCCATACATTGATAAACATGGGGTATATCTCATAGATTATGATGAGTGAGATGTAATTTATTTTTTGGACATCACAATATAGAAATAGTATAAAAAGTGTCAAGAGTTAAATGTCGCACTGTTTAAAGCGCAAAACAGCCAACGATTACAGGGTGTTCGAGAACAAATTAATTTAGAAGAGACTGTGTATTCGTAATATTATAAATAAAGTTCATATGCAGTGCATTTGTGTTTTACATATACTGATACAAATGATAAAATAAATATAGAAATTGTTACGACATAACATACAATATATATCACAGCTTAGTATGTACCGTGAACAAGAAAGCGAACAAGAGGCCCATGGGCCACATCGCTCACCTGAGCACATTGGCTAGGCAAAAGCACAAATCAGTTCAGTATTGAATAGATTACCTGGGGGTGGGGGGGGGGGGGGAGGGGGGGGGCTT